CCCCACAATCCCCACCCCGCCACGCTAACCAGCTCCCGGAGGAACGGCACCTTATTAGTGCTTGGGCCCCTGGGAAGGTTTTGGGGGAGGAAAGAGGAAGAGGAGGATGGGGAGGGGGAGAGGTGCCCTTCTCTCCTGCGTCTTCCTTCCCGGACTTCCCACCCAAGGGGGGCTCGCCCAGGGGTGCCCCCCGCCCCCTCTGCCCTCCCCCACTACCGCACTACGCCCAACCATCTGCGCGATTTTATGTCCGTTTTATTCATGCCGAAGCCGAAACTGCACACAGCATCATGATTCAGTGGTGTGGACTACGCCCCCTCCTCCTGAACTCCCACCCCTTTCCCTCTGCCTCTCACCATATACATTGCAAAAAACAACTAAACTGTCTGCACCGGCGGGGGAAAAAATAGAAACAGGAGAATAAAACAGAAAAAAACGAAGCTTTTTCCTCCAAGCTGCAATCATCCGTCACGTGCAATTCTTGGCGATTGGCGAGAAGGGACGCAACGCCCCATCCGACTGGCAGTAAATAGAGAACGAGCCAACAGAATTAGCGCCGTCGGCCGAAAGGGGGAGGGGGGGGGGGCAACCCTCACGACGGCAGGACGGCAGAAAGTTGGGCCCCCCTCTCGGCCCCTCCCTCTCTCTCTCCCTCTCGCCTTCTTCTGTCTCTCTCCCAAGTGACCACGGCAGCGATCGGACTGCGCGCACACTCCTCAACGTGGTGGGCCAATGGGGACGAAGCCGACGGGCCAACGCCCTAGTCGTCTGGCAGGAAAGAGCGAGTAAGAGAGAGAGAGGGCAACAGCAATAGAGAGCAAAAGCAAGAACAAGAGTGAGCTAGAGCAAGAGTGAGCAAGCAGAAGAGTGAGCAAGCAAGAGAGAGAGAGAGAGAGAGAGAGAGAGAGAGAGAGAGAGAGAGAGAGTGAAAGAGAGAGCAAGAGCGGGAGAGAGAGAAGAGCGAGGGCGAGGGACCGACTTCCTTCGAAGGTCTGTAGTCTTCGCCGGCCGCGGTTTTCGAACGTCGCGACCGGCTCCGGCTCCGACGCCTCCCTCTTACGGCGCGACGACACGCTCCCCCGCCGCCGTCATGTCCTCGGTCATGTCGGACACGCCCAGCAGAGATGTCACGACGACGCGCGGTGTCACGCGTTGGCGTCGCTGCGTCGCCTCCTTGCCGCGCCGCCACCGTCCCCGGCGGAATGATTCAATTTTCTACATCACGGAATTTTGAGGGCAAGAGCCAGTCGTCGCGCGCCTCGCGTAAAGAGAGCTCGAGCTCGCCGGGGAGCAGCGGGGGGCCGCGGCGTGGCGGCGAAGTAGAAGTTGGAGGGGATGGGAGGAGGAGAGGGGGAGTTACTGAAAGAGGGAAGTCCCCCGACTGGGGAGAGGAGGAGCAGCCGTCTCAAGTCGTCGCCGCTCCATCGATGGGGAGCCGAGCACAGCGATGATGATGAGTAATGTCTGAATGGGATCCGAGATTGAGATGGGCGGCGGCGGCGGTGGCGGCAGAAAGACGCCGCGCCGGGCCACTCCTCCCCCTCCTCCTCCTCCCTCTGCCCCCAACCCCACTCCCTCTTTCCCGCTTTCCATATTTTGCGTCGACTTTCCCACAAGGCGCTGTCAGCAGCGTCTGCTTGCCTGTCCCCCTTTCGTCTTCGCGGGCGCCCCCTCCTTGTCCTCCCGTCACCGTTGACGCGTCGTCGCTATACGCACCCGACTCGAAGGCCACCTCGCTGATGAGGATCCAGGTGGAGGCGAACTCGAGCTCGATCCGGATGTACTTGGCCACCCTGCCTCCGAGCGGCACCACCAGGTCGCGCGCCTCCTCGCCGCTGGACGTCGCGACCTCGGCCACCAGGGCCGCGCTCTCGTTGGCGACCGCGGCCTCGGCCTGCCGAGGCAGGGACATGGGCACGGGGCTGGCCGTGGTGGTGGAGGTGGTGGCCGCCGCCGCGCCCGGCGTCGTGGTGCTCGGCGCCGAGGTCGTGGTGGCCGCCGAGGCCGGGACAATGGCGAACTGCGTCCTCTGCAGCCAGCGCCGTCCGTCAACGCTGAAGGAAACGGTCACCATCTTGGGCACCTGGGGGACAGAGTGCACGCAGGCGATGAGGGTACTTTACTATAAATTCAAGCGTACAGCAATTGTTCTGTTTTTCCAATTATTTTCCTGATTTTTACGGATTTCCCCCAATTTTTCTTGATGCTCCATTATTTTTGCTGATATTTTTTTTTTGAGTGAGGGACAGGGTCCGGATTACTAACCCTGACGCCCTGGCTGACGCGGTTGTTGACGTGGATGCGCGCGCTGTGGAACTCGCGCGGGCCCCCGAACTGGAACGTGATCTCGAGCGGGCGGCCGTCCACGGGCCTCCAGCCCACCCAGCGCCGCTCCGTGCCGTCCGCGCCGGGGCTGCCCAGGAAGTGGTCCGGGCCGCGGAGCCCGTCCACGAGCTGGCCGAGCTCGCCGTCGTAGCTGCGGTCCACCATGCCCGGCGGCGGCGACGAGTAGCGGACCACGTTTTCTGCAACAAAATATACGAAAAATAAAATGATGGACTGGTTTACACGGACAACAGATGCTCTGCCGAATCAGTAAAAGGTAAGAATGGACCAAACGAAAAGAAAAGAAGAATGTGCGGCTCTCCTACACTTCCGGCATAGGTTGAGACGAGCGGGTCGGTCCAACCTGGTCGAGCCTGAGGCGGACGGCCGGCTGAGCCTGCGGGTTTGTTGTTTGATGCTTTGAGCGTTCGCGGACAGGGAACATGTCAATATTGACCTCCCCTCCCTTTGCGCACCGCCCGCCTTGCCTTGTCCACCGATGGATACCTCGTTTTTTTTTGGATGACATTTTACCTTACGGATCCGATCCACATTCGGCTTTGGCCTACTGGGTATTATCTTAAAGTAAATTAATGGGCATTCGTTTGCCGATAGAGAAGAGTTGGAGTTGCCCGATCCCGACGGACAGATTGAACTACTTATTTAACAGGTCGGGTGCAACGTGACCCACACCGTTTGTCCCCAACGTTTCGTCCCACAGAGAGGTACAGGGGTTGGGGGTTAGGGTGTAGCAGGATGGCAGTGGCGGGTTCAAAAGGAGAGCGTGTAAAAGAGAACACTATTTGAGGCCTGCGGGACGGAGTTGAGTGGGGAGGGTGGGGTTTCACATCAGCGAGGATATAGGCGCGGGCTGCAGGAGTCGTATTCAATTGTTTCACTGGAGTCCTCCCCACCCCCACCCCCTCTCCGCTGGTCAAACAGAGGCGGTGGAGGCACAGAGCGGGGCAGTGCGGATCCCGCTTTGGCGTCCTGCATTGCGATACGCACACATTAGCCGACAGGCAGGCGAGGGGGGGGGAGAGACAGAGAGAGAGA